TTCTTATTGAGCCAATTCACAAAAAATACCCTGTGTCATTGTCGTATGGACGCCGACTCTCAATATTCGTGTAGAATAATTGAGATTTAACCTCCTTGTTACTTTGAACGGAAGCAGCTAGGGAGGAGTTAATTGGGTAACACTTATTGTGTATTGTGAAAAGTCGGTTCTTATTGAGCCAATTCACAAAAAATATATTGTGTCATTGTCGTATGGACGCCGACTCTCAATATTCCTGTGGAATAATTGAGATTTAATAACCTCCCTAACCTTTACTAGCTGGCCGCGGACATTAGTAAGGTTATCTAATTAAGATTGGATTTTTGTGATTTCTTCTCAGTTTCTTCACTGACTCTTTTGCGTTCTTTTAAACCGTGATCAAGAACGCCTTTTCTGATTTTGCTTTAATAATAATACTATTAAGCAATTTTCCTCCGACGTGCGAACCCTTGAACACAACAAAATATTTATGAAGAAGAGAAGCAGACAGCGCACAGGAGGCGCGGAGAGCGCCACATTCAAATTTTAGTACTCTGAAGTTGTGAAGAGAACGAGACGTCTATAGTATAATTGATGTAAATAAATTATACAATTTACTTGAAGATGAGTTATGTAAAGCTTTACCTGTCTTCCACGCATTCAATCCAGCGTTTTTCAGAAAAGACAAGCAACGCCCCTTTAAAATATTATCTCAATCAGAAAAATACACAACAGCTTTCTCAGATTTAGGAAACATATCGTGTAACAAGGACAAAGTTTTTCAAGTACTAGAAATTTATACCGTCACTTATACGGAATCACATCAAAAAAACGAATTCAATCAGTTAATAGTGCTCGATTTGAGATGTTCTTAAGAAATTATAAAATAAAAAATATTAATGAGCTCTTTCAAAAAAAAATATTTAAAAATTTCGACGCATCCAGTTTGCCTCCTTGTCAGTTAGAACTACGACAGCAATTTGAAAGGGCGAGATACATAGCAAATACGTGGTCAAATTCACACCTAAAAGTACCAACGGATCTCGAACCTACTGATTGTGGCTGGGTAGATCAAGAATCCATGTATATACGATTTTAAATAGTTTGATGGGCCTCAATTACCGTCAACAGTCAAAGATGTTATAATAAATTACGAAGAATCTGAAGGTAAAGTATTTAATTATTACATATGATACATACTTTTCATTGTACAACAGTTTTTATAAAAATGTTAATTTATGTTCCAGATGATGAATCTGATATTGATTATACCAGCGACGAGGATATTGATGATCAGTCAGATTGTCGTGAATGTTAATAATAAAAATACTATTTTTATCCTGTAAAGAGAGAAGAATATATTCCCTCACTTAGCCTTCTGCAATTGCATATATAGTTCACTAACAGTACAAATAATAAAAGAAACAAATTGCCAGAACTGCACCTTATTATTTAAATTTTAAAGAATCGTTTTCCGTTTTACCGACTTCTTACGATATTATCATTTTTCACATACTTAGCCATCGTTTTGACTTCTGGCAATTAATGTCAAATTTTTATGGCTTTAAATAATATAAAAACAAAGTCGCCAGAACTGCACCTTGTCATTAAAATTTAAACAATTTTTTTACAAGTTTACCGACTTCTGGCAACGTTTTAGACCCGGCTTAGACTTCTGGCAATAATTTTCCCTAATTTCTACAGTTAAAAACTACAACTTCACAAAATATCAGAACTGCACTTAAAGATTTTATTTTGATTAAAAATAAACGCGTTTGACCGCCCGCCCATGCTTCCCTACCCGGGAGCGACTTCTGGCTGCAGTGCTACGTGCTTTTCAAATAGTAAGGAGGGTTTTCATATACAAATTTTGACTGCACCTTATCATTTTTAATTTTCGTAGCCAGCTCTTAGACTGGTTCGGGTGCCCCATATAGCTGGTACAGTTCGTGGTTATATATCTGATTCTCTACATGCCATCTTCCTGTGTCGGGCCGTAGATTCTCTCAGGACTTTCCTTTCGAATGCATCCAAAGCGTTTGCACTCCTCTGCGTGATCGACCAGGCTTCGCATCCATACGTAGCCACACTACGTATTAGCGTCTTGTAGAGCAAGATTTTTGTATCTCTGCGTACGTCTCTCGATTTTATTATTGGTAACAAGGAGAAGTACGCCCTGTTTGCCACCTTGATTCTTGCCTGGACCTATCTGGCTTCGTTATTGTCTGAGGTAATTATTGAACTCAAATATTTGAACTCCTCTACATTTTCAAATGTATAGCTTCCAAAGTTAGCTCTAAGTTAGTCCGTCTCCTCTTCTTGACATATCATCATCTTGGTTTTGTCCTCATTCACCTATAGTCCAATTCTCTCCGTTGCCTCCTCCAATCTTCTGAAGGTTTCATGGAGTTCCAAAAAAGATCTTGCGAGGCAGTCTATATCGTTCGCGTAGGCTGTCAGCTGCTTGGATCTGTAGCAAAGCTCACCATTGACGTCCACTTCTGGTTTTCCGCACTACTCCTTTTAGTGCCAAATTAAAAAGCATTGGAGCCAGCCCGTCTCCCTGTTTCAGTCTTCTGTCGAAAGCGAATTCCGCCACAAGTTCTTCCTGAATTCTGACCGCGCAGCGTGATGAGTTCGTGGTTTTTTTTGTCAGCCTGAGTAGCTTTGGTGGAATTCCCAGATCCAGCATCATGGTGTATAGCTTTTCTCTGTCTATGCTATCGCTTGTCTGATGTCAACAAAGAGTTGGTATACGTCAATGTTGTATTCCCAGCACTTCCTCAGGGTTTGCCTTACTGTGTGATGTTGATCTATTGTTGATCTGTTGTTTTGGAAACCTGCCTGATATTCTCTGTTTTTAATTATGCCGCATTTTAATTTTGCCTCATACACGAATGTTCCGAGTACCCCGAAGTCAACAATATCTCTTGCAGATGCTCTTATGTCGAAACCGTAGAGTTGAACATTACCTCCATGGGTGCTTCCGAAGAAGTGCTCGGAGTTAAAAGAACTGCAGGTTTATCTAATTGTAAGCAAGCAACAAGACAAAGAAGCGTTGATGAGTACTTATTTGATTTACTCATTATATTATGCAGCTTATTTTACATGGCATTATGTTTCTTCTTCTCACAATAACAATAAATTTAAAAAATTATCTTAATTATAAAAATCTTTAATGAATTACTATAATACGAAAATAAAAGTATGCATTGATGACAATGATAATAATAACGATGACAACTATAAGTCTAAGAATAATAATTTTCATTTTTATAGTTTTAGTATGCATAAGGGTAATTAATTTTTTAAATATTGATTAATTTTGTCTTTTTTGACTCTCCAGTAGGGAAGACCGGGGCTCGTTGGCACAAGAAGCAAGTTGGCATTGCGTTCCGTTTATGTATTTATAGCGAAATAAACAATAGAAAAGTTATCACAAAATATATTTTTTATGACATAGGTACTTTTCCCAAAGTTTTATTTAAATCAAACAAGTATTACAATAGAAAAAGAGAAAACTCTGATTCAAGAAGTGGCAATTTAAGTAAATTTTCGAGCGTTTCAAAATATCGTATTAATAATGTTCTTCAGCTTGAGAAGTAATAAATCAAAGTGACGTATCATTAGTTAAAAGAAACGTTTCTGTTACTATACGACATGTTATTTTGAGGCGAACAACAGTAATTTATTGTAATAAAATGACTGAAATCTCACAAACGTATATAGGGATAGGGTATGTTGGCTCATATCAAGGCACGCTTAGCTTGACTTGTTGTTGCCGTGCGCGTGAGATCTGTGTGAGTATGTGATTTGCTACCTACAATGCTGATAGAAGCTAGATATATATTTATATTAATATTTTTATATTGAAGAAAGTTATATCTAAAATAGTTTACAATTGTTTTTCTGCAACAGCATTTTGCTATTTGATCATTACAAAATAACTTTAAAAGATACAACCTTTATCAAGAAGTACATATCTGTTACCCGTTTTGTGTTTTCTATTACGTTTTCATTAATTTAACATGGACTTTTGTTGCATAGCCAACTTACCCTACTATCGGGGCAAATGGGCTACAATCAAGCATGTTCGTATTTCACTTATTACAAAGAAACTATATACAGTATACAGGGGCGTTCCTAGCATGAAAATGTAGAGAAATCACGCGGGAGTATTAACGGCGATTGGCCGCGAGGCATCAGGCCACTCTGACACGCTTGGAAACACGCTCTAGAACACCGTGACCGCCAGGGCACGAAGCCCTCGGGGTCACGGGGTCCGCCTAACCGAGTAAGTAAGGAAACGATGAAAGTAGTGGTATTTCATCGGCGATGTTGCCATCTCCCACTTATGCTACACCTCTCATGTCTCCTTACAGTGCTAGACTAGAGTCAAGCTCAACAGGGTCTTCTTTCTCCGCTAATTTTTCCAAGCTTGTTCCCTTGGCAGTGGTTTCGCTAGATAGTAGATAGGGACAGGGGGAATCTCGTTAATCCATCTATCCCGTGCTGGGGCCGACTATCATATTAGTACTATTTAATCATGATAATTAGTTGTTTAAAAATTTAAATGCCAAAATTGTGAAAATAGTGCCAACGAGCCTCGATCTCCTCTAAGTGTGAATTTGACATGTAAAATGGCGCATGAGGATAAATTACACCCTACATGGCCTACATTATACATATATATATGCCATAGATATTAAACTAATTAAAATTTTTTTGTTTTCTGTTTAATATTGTTCATTGTTGCACACATCTTAAAGTACAATATATTAACAGGTTAATACTTTATTATTATTTTTTTTAATAGTCGGATCTGTACTGGAGGGTTAATTATTCTATATATAAGTACAAAATAAAGACCATTTTTAGATCTATTTTTTGTAAAAATTTATATAATTTAAAAACGTTAGGTTAACTATTTCTCTTTATACAGCCCGCCCCAAATGACTTCTGACTGACCTTAATGTTGACCTTGACCTTCAAGAAATTTATTAAAAAGTTATTAATAAAAGAAGTTTGAAAACTGTAACATAGTTTTCTGACACTGACCACTTTTTCCTCCGATAAACAAATGAGATATTGTAAGCTAAATATTGAAAAAGTTACCAAGTTTTCCTTGAATATCTCAAAAAGTATAAGGCAAATAAAAAAATGTTTTAGACAAAAGTTGTTCAAATTAATAAGTAGAAAAGAATAATACAATAAAAAATAAAGGTTTTAATTTAAAAAATTTAACTTTGGCCCTCCTGGGCCCAGCATGGCCCTTGGACCTAAAATCCAATAAGATCGTCTATTGGCTCCTTTTGAACCTTCTAACTTTTATTTGAAACATATTCTTCCAATAACCAATACTTTCTGAAATAATTGGCCGTTCCGTAACTGTTGGTACACAAGGTATACGCCATCGCTAAATATCCTCATATCAAGGTAAGGTAGTCTCTTTTATAAACTATACGTAAAAGAAGCATAAATTTAATTTAGATATTTATTTGTATGACATTAATGTTACAGAAGTTTGAAATATTTACAAAAGTTATAAAATATTCTCTCCCTTTCTTTTTTTCTCTCTTTCTTCTTCCCTCACTCACCAACTCAATTACGGATCATCGTCCATAAGTACATAATAGTGTTAAGTAACGCGTACAATTGTAATATTTTACTAATTTTTTTTTTTTCTATTTTTAATTACACCACATTTCAATATAAACCAAGCACTTCAAGTTTAACGGGTTATGTTATGGACTCCTCTGCAGAATAATAATAGCAAGCGACCCGTAATAAGCAAACTCTACGGAGATCTTAAAATACTTTACAATTTTAAAGTTCAAAAACTTTATTAAAATTAGACGGAAATTTTTTTAATTTTTAAATCTTTTTCGAAACATATTTGTTTGCTTAAAATTCTCTTCAAAGAACAGATGAAACTAGAACCACATACATTAGTATTATGCCGAATACCTATGTAAAATAAAATTTTAAGTAAATGTATGAAAATTTCTAAATAGTGTCTGTAACGATTAATCGACTTTAAAAAAATCTGAATATTTAGAAATATTTAGATGTAACAAGAATTTTCGGAAATAGATTTTTTTTAATTGTCTAAATTAATTATTTGCAAACTAATGTTATTAAAACAGATTTTCGAAAGCCGATTTTTGAAATTAAAATAATGATATTTTCATAATCAATTTAAGCGATTTAATAGAGCGCAAATAATCTTAAACATAAATCTAATATATTAGAGATTATAATCGAATTTAATTTATGTAAGAACTTAATATAATGAATATTATTAACAATAAGAAGACTACATAATAGTAAATAAACTCACTTGAGCAATATATTCAGTGCGCAGAAAAAGAAAACTAGTTTGCTTTATTGACAAGAGAAGGACGCGATAGACTAATCTCAGTTTTAATCCGCTTACACGTGATGATCGAAAATAAGTTGATATATGTCCGAGTGTTTCGTTCAATATGTCTTATAAATAATACTGTTTAATGTTTGACATTTTAAGTGATCGGTAGTTTACAAGTCTTAAAGAAAAATGCTAGTAAACTGTTGTATAACGCACTTGGTGAGCGTAAGAGTAGCGAGGATGCAGGATCAATACACTGTTAATTTTTTTGTTATTTTTATTTCTTTCTTAACTATTTAATATATAGATATATATAAAAATAAACATTTGGCACTGACCAAGTGCACTATATGGCGTTGCTTGCTAGTGCGTCTCCTTTTTTAAAATTTATAATAACCGATCGCTTAAAATTTTAAACAGTAAAAAGTACCATTTATAGAGCACATCAAATGAAATACTTGAACACAAATCAATTTATTTTCAATATACAGGGTGGGACACATGGTGCACTTGCACATCTCGAAAATTTTTAAATTATAAGTTGTACGAAAAATTATTATTCACAAAAGTTGCGTGACCTCGGGGGGGTTATTATATAATGTATACATTTTTTTTATAAGTGGAGGCAGTTAAAAAATTTTAAGGTTAACTTTATTTTTTTAATTGAAATATTATATTTTTTGTGCTACTATTAGGGGGTCTATACACGTACGAGTTTGGCTCGCAAGTCCGGCTCGGCGAGATTGATTCGCGACCCGGACTCGAACTTTTTTTACCACACACGAAAAGAAAATGTGCGAATTTGGCTCATCTGACGCCGAGCCCAGCTCGTGACATCCCATAAGGTGAAAAATAAACGAAATCAGCCATCTCAATGGTTATTTCAGACTTTGTCGATCTCTTCAAGAAACTGGTAATGTTATCAAGCGTAATCGTATAAAAGCTGCTACCAGTGAAGAAAATACTGTTGCTGTCTTACAATTAGCAAATGTAATGTACAATCCACATGTTGGCACACGAGAGATTGCAGTCAGGAAATAGTCAACGAAGTATACTCCGAATTCTTCACGCTCACTTTCATCCGTATCATCTATCACTTCACCAAGATGCATGGAACAGATTTTGAAAACCGTGTTCGATTTTGTTAGTAGTTTTTGCATCAAATGCAAAATAATGATCGTTTTTTAACATTTTATTTACGGATGAAGGTACGTTTATCGACTGCAAACATGCACTATTAGGCATTAAAGAACTCACCTCTCTCACTGGAGAAATTGATCACTAACGACGACGGAGCATTAACGTGTGGTGTGTAACATACTCGGCAATCAAATAATTTAACCATACTTTATTGATGAGCAATTAACGAGAAAAAAATACGCAATTTTTTTAACGGAGATCTTATACCAACGTTATTGGAGAATGTACCACTAAATATGTGTTTAAAAATGTGGTACATGCATGATGGTTGCCCTGCACATTATACGCACGAGAGTCAAGAGAAGCGTTGCATAGACAATTTCCAAGTCGATAGATAGGTCGTGATGGAGAATTTTTATGACCATTTCGTTTACCAGATCTAACGCCATTAAATTATTTCTTGTAAGGTACATTGAAAGATACAGTGTATCGTGAGCCACCCACAACGGTAGAGAATATGAAAGATCGAATTCTCAAAACGTACGTGCAATAGACTTAATTCAGAAACAATTCGGAGTGCTGTTTCGTTATTGACTAATAGATTATCATTGATTAACAGTCATTGTATTAAAAATGTTAACCCGAGCACCAATTCGAGCACCTAATTTTTAATATTTTGTTTAATTCATGCTGCAATATATTATTAAGTTAAATCTACAAAAAACTCACTAACTTTATTAAAATATTAAAACAGAAGCTATTTGTCGTATGTTTTCTCTATATTTAAGATACGTGACACCCAATCCAGAAACATGTGACAACCAACCCTGGGTATGCGGTAAGTTGTCACATTTGCACGATTTTGCTTAGAATTAGATAACTTTTTTGTGTATAAATATAATGTATGTAAGTCTAATATTTTTTTTCTTATACTAAAAAATGTAGCTACACACACACATTATAAAGTAGTACACGATATTATAAAATATTGCTATAAGATTTTTTCGTTAAAAAGAAAAATTTTTTTGTTTTTCTGAATGTGTTCAGAATGTTCTAAAACGTCGAAAAACTGCAATTTTAAAAAATGTCTGTATATATGTATGTGTGTGTGTATGTGCCAAATTTACCGAAATTTCTATAAGTCCAGAACTAATCAACCAAATCTTAACGAATTATATATGAAATAGGGGAAGAAAGAACTGAAGAATATAATAGAATTAATAAAAATTGCTAATAATCAAGGAGTTCTTTTTTAATAAAATTTTGAATTTTTTTAGAAATTTTTGTTTATGCTTTAATTTCTGCAAATTTAGAGATATCGATCTATTTCTAATTTTATTATATTTTTCAGTCTTTTCTACCCCTATTTCATATATAATTCTTTAAGATTTGGTTGATTAAACTCAGCTTTATACGCGATCAAAATTTTTAGAAAAATGTCTGTAATAGCTTTAACTTCTGTAAATTTTAAGATATCGATCTATTTTTAATTTTGTTATATTCTTCAGTCTTCTCTATTTCTATTTTATATAATTCTTTAAGGCTGGTATTCATAGTCGGATCTTATATTCAAGATCGTCTTAAGTATAGTCTTAAGGCGTCATCAGCCAATCAGAGGGCTGTATTAGCATCTTAAGACGTCACTTCCTCTATGAGGAAGCCAAGTGCAAATTTCTAATTTTTATATCAGTATTTGAAGAATGTGACAACCAGCCTCGGTTTCCCCTATACACTACATGTAATGACCCTTTCAAAGTCATGCAAATTTTGTATACAACAATTTTTCGTACAACTTATAATTTACAAGTTTTTCGAGGTATATATTCACGATATGCAAGCAGATCAAAATCAATAAATAATTAGTCAACCATGTCCTCTTCTTGCTAAAAGCAATCTAACAGTTTTGTCTTTAATTTTATGATTTTTCGTAAAATTTGAAATGTTTGGATAATGAAAAATTAAATTTTCTGTTACATCTAATTATGCGTAGTAAAATATATAGTCAAAATACATGATTTTTCGATTTTTCGCAAAAACTAAGAAAATATCAGTATTTATAGTAATTTTAATATTTATATAAATCTAAAAAACATGATAAAAACAAATGAAAATATTAATTACCGAAAGTGTAAATTGGTTATCCAAATTAAACAAGCCACAAACTCTGATGCGCAACGGATGCGCCCATAGAAATACTCCCAATTCGGTTGTTTCCTAAAAGTAAAGAACATCGCAAAATATTATCTTTGTAACTTTTTTATAATTAAAATATAAAAATGTCAATCATTTTTATGTAGCTATTAAAAATAAGTTAATAAAAAAATGAGTAAAGTTAAGCTTTTGCAATTTTTAAACTTTACGAATTAAAATAAATAAAAATTGATCTTTATTCCATTTTAAGGTTTATATTTTAATAAAGATTTGAAACTATTTCTTCAAAATGCTTTATACATTTAATATAGAATTAAAAGATACCTATTCGTAATAATGTTCAATAAAATTTTACGGAAAAGCCGTGACGAAAAAGTAATTTCGAATTGTTTAATGCATGTCTGTGTGTGCATACAAGATTGATTATAGCAGTACCATGTATATATACAAATTGGCCCATTTTAATCTATAAATCAAAATATCTTGGAAATGAATTTGAGTTAATAAAATTAAACACATAAGTGTTGAAGGAGTTCAAAGGGATCGTCAAACCATCGCAAAAAAATCGATAGGTGGAAGAACCTAGGAGATTACAAGATTATCTTTGTTTTTTTAAATGGAATCTAGTTCTTCTTTTACTATATGATGAAGGAGAAGGCGAGATTTATTTATACCATATGTTTAACGTCTTATTAACAAATTTTTATAAATAAAATCAATTCGGATTTTAAATTAAATTTCAAAGAGTCCTATTTGTTCCATTACGCTATCTTTATCGCTTATGACTAGTTCTCTTTTATAACACGAAAGTTTTATAATAGCCACTCAGATCGTTATGACTAAAATCTCTTTGAAGCTTTTGTATACACAAGTGTTTACAAAAATAGCCAAGCTATTACAGCATATTCTTAATACCAAATTAAGTCAGAAAGTCCTATATCATTTTTCCCTCCGACAACAATTATTGATCAGATAAGTTAAGTATTGATAAAGTTACCAAATTTTCCTTAAATGTCACAAAAAATATTAGTCAAATAAAAAAATGTTTTACACAAAGTTGTTTAAATTAATTAATAGAAAAATATGATATAAAAAAACATGGGGATTTCCATTTAAAAAATTAAAAGTGATCTGTACATGATTTTGATGCCTACACCCAAGATTAAACGAATGTTATTATGTTATGTGTCCTTCAACTATAATCTAAGATATTTTTGGTAAGATGCATACTTTCAGAGATAACCGCTTGTAACGCTTTAAATGCCCCACCCTGTATATGCGGAGCGTTTAAACTATTTGGGATACGTTCCATTTAGCGCTAGCAACACTCTTAAAATTATTTCATTTTTGTTGTTTAACAAATGTTGAACAAGGACGGATGATGCTCACAAGCGTCACGAGCACCAAATAAAATATACTTTTAAAATAATGTTACAATTAAGCTATTATCTCTGAAAGTACGCGTCATAACACAAATGTTTTACACAAAGGTTGTACCTATTGTCTGGAGAACGACAAATAATGGTAAAATTAATTTTTGAAAAATCGATTTTTTAAGATAACTGCATAATTAAATATATATCGTTGTCACAATACGCACGTATGCGCGCACGCGCGCACATGCACAACATATGTATACCGTATATTTTAGTAGTGCGTTACATACAAATTTTACTCACAGTCGAAAAGTTACTATGTTTGAATGCGGAAGTTTCTGCCGAGAATATTATACTCGCCAATGCGTTTGCCTATAACAATTGTACGCAGCATTAAAAAGATTATTACACCAATTTTGCTTATCAGCATTATATTTGCAATATGTATACTAATACCTGATTGCATGTCAAATAACAGATGCGACTTATAGCAATAATTTGAAGTGATACAAATATCACATACGGGATATAAAATAGCAGCATGTTGTTAAGTGGAATATATTTTCCACTAAAAACAATGCCGAAGACATTAGTTGTAATCTCTATTAGCATACATGTGATCCAAGTGAGCAACTGTGGGTTGTAATAAGAAGTGAGACAATTTGTTGCATCGTGAAGATAACGATGTAACCGCTGGAGATTCATGATGGCAAGTCCGTCGGCAAATAATCTGATATTGATGCCAACAGTCATCCCTATGTATATAAAACCTTTTATTAAGATCATTTATTATATACCATAAACATACACGCGTGTGCGCGTGATAAATATGCCTAATATATTATATGTATATATAAATATATATAGATAAAAAGTATTTTATTTTTAGATATTAATTTAGATATTTAGAAACATTCATCAATTTTAATATAAGTAGTTAATATTAGCATTTGAGAATCGTCATTGATTAAGTTAACTTGATTCGATTTATTCAACGGTTTCGAATTGATCAATTGACAATAATACCAATCAATTCATGACACAGTCTGTTGAGACGATGAAATCTGCGACGCAATGCATCGTATAAGAAGTAAAATTTTGCGATTTCCATGGAGAACGATATTCGTGTTACGCATTTTATCATAAATGCAAACAAAACTGTTTTGGTTAAAGTTTTGTTTCTAGCACTAAATATTATCATTAGTAAGATAGGTGTGAACCAAACGCCGAAGATTAATATCATAATCAGCCATTGCATATAGTGATTCTTTCGTTTGTCATCAGTGCACCAATGATAATGTTGTATTAAATTATCGAATTTACGAGTTGTGGATATAGTACGTTCAAATTCCATATGTCGCAGACACGACAACAATGCCGTTAGAATCATATAGGAAGACCGGCTGTATCGATACAATTGTTCCAGAACACATCCCACATTAGTCTCACACTTAATTAAATAAGTGTTAAATGTATAATATGCTCCAGCGCAATACATGCCGCACGCGATCAGTGAGTACACTGCCAGTGGGTGAAAATTTTTAAATATCGATAATTCATCGATCGTGTGTGGATGACAGCCACAAAAGCGCGATATGTATAGCAACCATCGACAATTTTCCAGCATGATTTCACAAGAACTGACTTAGTTGCTATGATCATTGCTAACATATCGCTATGTTTCACTCATGCTGGCGATAAAGCGCAGATAAATCTGTTTATTACTTCAAACGGGGCTAATTTGTCTCTATTGCGTGTAGATCTTAGAGATAGTGCTAAAATACTGCGAAATTTCTCACAATGTTTCTCTTTCACGATTCGAAGCTGACCGAAAAAGAGAAACATGCGAGCATTAAATTGTTTCTTTATTTGTTGAATTACAATTAGCTCTTTTAAAATGTCCTTTTTTATGTAATAGCGATAACATTTTGTAACTATTGTGCCGTGATACATATATATAACAATCAGATAGCTGAAACACACGCAACCATGTAATTGCGAGCAACGATTGCTCGTAATTGATTCCATGCAATCGTTATCTTCATCATTTTTGTTACTATTAATAGTATTATTGATAAAACTACATAGTTATGACAACCGCACCGATTTAAATGACCATTACACATATATTATCAAAGATGTGGTTGGAACTAAAAGATTAGCCATCGCTGTATTAAAAAGTTATTAGCAAATAAAATTAACCATACAAACGTATTTTAAATGCTATAATTTACGTATCATCTGCAGATCATTAAGTTCTATGTTATTTGCATAAATTATGTACGTAAATGAACAAAATAAGCATTTATTTCTACTGCAAAAAATTCTAATCTAACCCAATCGTCTTTCTAATTTGAAATTAAGTTTGGTTTATTAGAATTTGTTTGAGGCGTGCAAGAAGAGAGGCTCTTTCCCCGCCCAAGCACTTAGGGAAGACCAAAGCTAAACGTAACATTTTGCTCATTTGAGTTGATATCTTTGATTTACTTGTTTATATATAAACTTTTTCTCTTTTATAAGGTAAATATATGCTTTATTTACATTATGATATGGATAAAATTTATCCACATTTTATAATTACGTAGAAAAATTAAATTTTATGAAGATCGAGATTTGTTACGATTGTCCCTACCCCTAGGGTTGGTTGTAACAGAGCTCAAGGTTGATTTTAACAAAGTAAAATAAAATAAAGACAAACATATAATCAATGTAGCGGAACGTTTTATTTTTTAAAAACTTTTTTTAAATAATTCTGGAAATTTTTAATTATTTTAAACAAACGTTGCTAAACCTCTATTTGTTTTTCTTTTTTATATATTCGGCATTCTAAAATAATAATAAGAATATTTTTATTAAAAAATGTATATATAAATAAATAGAAATCAACACCAATAACAATTATTATTTTTGGGACAAAAGTAGCAAACTATTACTTTTGTCCCAATTTATATATCTTAACATCTGATTCACGGAAAAGAATTAAATGATAAGATCACCATATGTAGATCATTTTTTTGTAGTAATATCATTATTTATATATGTATAAAGGATCGATAAACTCCTAATATGCGATAGCAAGGTTTCTGCTAAGCTAGTAGACTTTATCTGTTGATTCTACCATGAACTGCCCTTGGGGTAAAACTTATTTAGTGGTGTTGTGTCCTCGTAGGGAATTAAAGAGGCCCGAGGTGGAAGAAAGGAAAGTGTAAAATATGTAACGCCTAGTTGCGCTCCCGATCTATGGCGTTTTCTCGCGATCGGGCGGGTCGCGAAATAAATCACACTATCTCTCTGAATTGGCTGTTTTAATATAGCAGTACACACACACACACACACACACACACATACACACACATACACACACACGCGCGAAATCGAGTCCCGAACAGAACCAAAGTCGTTGCGAATAACTTAGAATAATAGCAGCCGGTCCAAACACGTGCGAACCGCGGTGCGGTAGCGAGACGTATCTGCCGGCAGCGAGCCGGGCCAGGCGGGATAGCGAACCTACCCGAGACGCGCCGGACGGAGCCGAACGGTCAGCTCGACGCGAAGCTCGCGCCAACAAACGTGGTCGTTGCAAAGAGAATCGGTCGGAGTGAATTTCGCTGGACCGATTATACCGATAATAAATTTAAAGAATAAGTTTATCGAACATAATGTGTGAATGTATCTGAACTATAAATATATTTCCACCCGTGTCCTTCTCGGTACACACTCAGATAACGAATCCGTTACAAGAAGTAACGTCTACCGCGTTTCGGTGTTCTCCCCGCCAGAGTCGTCTTGAGAGAAGGGGACATGACTAGCCGAAATTCGGCACTTAGTCATTACCGCGATATCTCGATCCTAATCCGGGCGCCGCATATATATATATATATATATATATATATATATATATATATATATATATATATATATATATATATATATATATATATATATATATATATATATGTATATATATGTATGTATATATATATAACATATATATATATATATATATATATATATATATATGTTACAGGGTGTTTACGATAATTCGAGTACGAGTTAGTTCCACTAGGGCCGAAAAATATGATAGGTACAACCATCTATTATTTTCGTGAATCATAACAACTCACAACGCTTCCGATAAGTCGAGTAGAGTTAGCTTGAGTTGGCTATATAGGCAAGGCGTACGTAATACATTTATAAATCGACGGTACGTATTATCAGGTAAAGCAATATTGTAAAATGAGAAACGTTAAAAAACAGTACGTTATTAAATTTTAGCAAAATTACAAATACAAATTAAAGTTACGATTAATAAAAAGTATTATATATTTGTAGAATATCCGAAAGAAGAAAATTCGATTATTCTAACCTATAAATGAACATTATTTTCGTAATTTATTTTTATAGAATAAAAACTTTTTGTTCAAAGTAATGTTAATCATCATGTAGATAGTGTTAAGGATGTTCTGGCGCTAACACTGTTACATTGAAAATACCGTAGAACTTTTATAGATTGTTTCCATTTATTATCTGAACACGTGGTTAAAACCTGAAGCCAATTCTCTAAAGCCCATTCTACAATAGCCGTAAAAGT